TATTTTTTTTTTTTGAAATTAAACCTAAGTTCACTGACTGTTCTGTATATATGTGTGTATATGTACCAAAGTGTGTACATTGAACTCTTTTTTTTTCAAAAAAAGCTGGTTCAATTTTTCTGGCTCTCTCTCTCTCTCTCTCTCTCTCTCACTCTCTGGTTTTGCATTGTTATTATGTAATGTACGTTAAAAAAAAAATATTTGGCTTCTATGATAATAAAGTGATGATGAATTTCAGGGGTTTGACACACACACACACAAGCGGATTATCGTAAAAACAAAATAAAATAAATATAATTTTTTTGTTGTTGTCTTGTCCATATAATAATAATAATAAGTTATTTCATTTATATGGATTTTATTTTATACTTTTTTTTGTGTGTTTTACTCTCTCTAGATTTGTTGTTGTTTAAAAAACTACAGTGGATGGATTGCAACAACAACAAAATTTTATTATCATCATTTTTTTTTCGATTTCATTTCAAACAAAATTGAGTCATAAACTTTTCCATTCCGGTTAATTACCTTTATTTTTTTATATTTTGTTTGTTTATCCGATCACAAAATCCGAAAACAAAATAATGAAATTGAAAAAAAAACATTGATTTTTTTCCGGAATCAAAATTTTTTTCCCATTTCCTTTTAAAATACACCTGTGTAACAGAAAAAAACATCTTTTATGAACAATTTATCGAATAAATATGAAAAATTTTTAATTTGTGAGTGCCTTGGATATCTCGAATTCGATTTTATACACACACATACACATACACACGGGCAATACAAATGTACAGCAAAAATTCTTTTGTTTTATTATTTAGATTCGCCAAAATCATCAATGTTTGTTGGATGTCATTATCGTGCTTCATTGATTATCTAGGGATTTTTATAATGAATTTTTTTTATTATTTGGTAAAAACACCCTATTCACCTGATTCAATTCAGTTTATTTATTCAATCAATCAATCAAACAACAAAAAAAGCACCCTATTATTATCCAATTGTTTCAAAATATATCTTTTGAATTCAATTCTTTTTCATCGTGGTTGTTGATGATGATGATGATCGTATTCATCATCAGTCCAATTTTTTGTTTTTGTTTAAATCTTTTCATTGTTGTTGTTGTTGTCACACAATCATTTCGCTAATAATACTCAATGCCGAAGGGGAAAAAACACAACCAGAAAAAAATAAAAAAATAGGAAAATCTTTTTTTTTCATATTTTCTTCTGTCATTATTCTTTCAACTGCTTCAATTTTATCATTGATTTTCTTTACTGTTTTTTGTTTCAAAAAAAAAACAATTTATGAGAATAGAAACAAGAGATTTTTTTTTCAATCGTACAAATATTATATCATCATCATCATCATCATCATTAACGTTACCCGTTTTACCCATCATCATTATCATTATTATTACAGTTTTTAACGGGAAATCCATCTATTAAAGATCTTTTTCTTTGATAATAATAATAATAATAATCATCATTTCGAAACAAAAAACAAAAAACAACAACAACAAAACTGTGTCACGGTGGTTGACGATTTCTTTCTTTCTGTTCTGTTCTGTTCTTTTTTTTTCTATTATATAACATATATTAACTTCATCTATATTTATATTATAATAGATTATTATAGATTGTCATGTTTGATCATCAATAAGATTCATTCATTCATTCATTCATTATATACCGTATAAGCCGGTTTTTCTTTGCTGCCATACAAGTCAAATTGAAACATATGATAATAATAGTAAACAGACAGAGAAACAAAACAAAACAAAAAATGGCCGGATTTCATGGATTTGTTGATCCGTTACGATTTGTCATGTGAATGAATGAAAAAAAATCTAAAATAAATGAATGAATGAATGAGACAACGAGAAAAATATGCAAGAAACTATCAACAAAAAAAAAAAAATAAAATTGTCAGGTTATAATTGTGATGTATATGATGATGATGATGATGAAAATATATCATTTTGGGTAAAATTCTTTCAAATAAAAACAGACAACTGGTAATTTTTGTGTTTCACTTTAAAATTTTCTGCATATGTTAGTTAACATTTTATTGATTTAACAAAAATAGCCACAAAAAATGTTAACGACATTTAGCAATTTGTAAAACGATGATAATAAAAGTTGTTGAATAAAAAATAACATCACTTAACTCACCATTTTACACACAGTTTCAATAACAATTTTACTGTTTTATTATCATCATCAATAGATATTCAGAAAGATCCTAAAATTCAAAAAAAAAAAAATAAAATTTACGGAAGTAAAAAAAATTATGATAATTTCAACAACAACAAAAAAAACGAAACAAAATTTATTATTTTGTTCATATTTTTTTTACAACTTTTTTTTTCGGATGTGTCATCTGTTTATTGCAATTTCTTTTTCTTTCCATCATCATCATCACCATTTTACTGAATCAATCAATAATCTTTATCGTTACGAATTTTTTTTTTCGTTGTTTTGTTTGTCTGATACGAATCATTTGTTCGATAAATTATTATTATTTCATATGAATGTTGTCATTATTTTTAGGTCAAAGGTAATTTTTTGTTGTTGTTGTTCATTCATTCTTGATGTGGTCAATATATAATGTGTGTGTGTGTGTGATCAATCTTTTTTTGTTCATTTTCTTGGTTACAATGATAATCATTGAATTAGTGATAAGAAAAAGAAAAAGTTTTGAAAAAGGAAAATGGAAATTCATTTTTTTTTGTCTACTGGATGGTTTATTACATAACATTTTTTTTCGTTTTGTTTTGTTATGTTTTGGAACAGGATTGAACTGAATCGATGATCATAATGATGATGATGATGATGATGATGGTAGGAAAAAAAAATCGATCATCATCATCATCATAATGGCATCAATCGTAATGATTTTTTTTTATTTATTTCTCCAATTTCTTCGATTCAATGATAATTTCATTCATGGTTTGAACGATTTTATTGTTATTGTTGTTGTTTATCCTTTTATCAACGAATTTTATTGTTTGTTGTTTTTCATCATTCGACAAAACAACAACAACAATCAAACAAATAGAAAAGAAGATAAGAATGCTTTGATTTTAATGACAAATTGATAATCGAAAAGAATTTTCCAAAACAAACAAACAATTTTCATTTTTTTTATAGATTAAATTATTCATTAATTTTTTTTGTTTTGTTTTGTTTATCATTCAAATATAATATTTCTCATCATCCAATTACAATTACCATTAGTAATATTTATGAATGGATTTTCAACAAAAAAACATAATCTATTTCTAAATGATCAATCAATCAGATAAATGATGATGATGGATTTTAAATGGAAAACAAATAATGCTAGATGAATATTTTGTTGGATCATATTTTTCATTTTCATTTGATTTGAAATTAAATTTTAACTGTTCATATTTTATTCACATTCATTTTTTTTCGAATGGAAGCAACCAAAAAATGATGATGAATAGATATTTTCAATAGGAAAAAAAACCAACAACAACAAGGAAAAGATTATTTAAGAAAATGAAAGTGATATTTTTCATCGATATATTAGATTATTTGAAATCTGAATTTTTGTTTTTCTCGCATCGATATACATTCAGTAAAGACAAACAACAAAAAAAATATATATGATAAAACACAATACAGAATTATTAGACGAAAGAAACAACAACAACAACGAAAAAAAAATTACAATTAACAAATTAATTTTGTAAAATTGGAATGTCAACAACAACAGTGATAATAGTTTTCTACACATTTTTTTTCTGCTTATAATGTTTACAATAATTCATTGAATTCATCTGAAGAACAACAACAAAAAAAAGATCAAGATATAAGTTGTTACAAATATGGTGAATGTATGGTGTGTGTGTGTGTTAGGCTATGAATTGATCAATCTATTTTTATTTCAATTGAAAAATGTTTATCATTTGAAAGAATAATGTGTGCTGAAAGAAAATTCTATAAATGTATTGATGTGATAATCTGTTTGTGAAAAGAGAATCAGAGAGAGAGAAAGAAAGAAAACGAGATATACATCCAACACCCACATAAATATAATTAAGGCAAATATAACAATAATTAACAGAATAAGAACCGAAAAAAAATTCTGGAATATTATATCAATATGAATATCAATAATGTTTTTTTGTATTTTTGGAATTAACAACAACCGAACAACAACAACAAAAAAAAACCGAACAAATCATACACCCACACTTAGAAACAATAACAACAAAAAAAAAATGAAAAAAAGAAAAAGAAAATATCTGGAGCAAATCGTATCGTTATTATCGTTGCTGATATGGATGGAAAGAGAACAATGATGATGATCTGGATAATAATAATAATAATAATATTTTTTCTCTCTGAATATTATGTCGTGTAGTTTTTTTTTTGTTGTTGATGCAATATGATTATTTACCTGGTTATTCTAATTTTTTTTTTCTTCCAAATATATTCGGTGAAGCAGAAAAAAAAGTAAGTGACAGAAGTAGACAAAATATCAGTGTGTGTTTGTCTGTGTGTGTGTTTGTTGATGTGAATTATACAAATTTTTGTTTCCTGGATTTGTTGTTGTCCTGGATGTTGTTGTTGTTGTTGTATATTTGCTATGCTGTATTATTACCGAATATAGATTGAATAATTTTGATTTGAATTCGATTCTCCAGAAAAAAAACACACACACAGATGTTTTAGAAGAAAAAAATACGATCCATATATGATGTTTAATAAGTGAAACTTTTCTCATTCTCTCTTTCTCTCTCTTCTCTACTGGTTTATGAAAAGATTAGTTTGCATCATTATTATATCTAACATTTCTATGAATATATTTTACAGACGATTGATTTCTCATTAGTTTTTTGAATAGAATTGAATGATGTGTTGGAATAAAAGAACAGGATACAATATTATTATTATTTTTTTTTGAAAGATAATTTTCTTTGTATTTGAATAGGGAAGAAAAGTATTTCCGCTTTTTCAATGTTATTGTTATGATCAGATATTGTTATTGTTGTTGAACATATTTGGTTTGACATTTTTTTTTATTATTATTTCATATCTTCATCAACATCAACATCATCATCAATATCATTATTATCATCATCATGAGATATTTCACCATTAGTAACGACAATCATTCCATTCATATGTGTTGATGTACAATTAACATCAATCGATGATCGTGATACTGTTGTTGTTGTTGGTGGATCTTGATTTGAGCTTGCTGCAGAACTGCGTCTTTCTAATTCGCGTAATGAATCATCGATTGCTTGTTGGGTGATAGTTTCGGATATTTCATGTGCCGCTATCGCCATCGATACACAAACACTTGGTGGTTCATTTTTTTGTTCCATACTTTTATTGCCGTCGATATTGCTTTGTTGATGATCGATATCTTTTTGATAGGCAAAATTATCATTTTGTGAATCACTACCAATAACAGGACGGGATTCAATTTCAGGTGTAGGTTGTATAATAACAACTGCTTGAGGTGTCATTAATTGCACTGGTTTTGGTGGCGGTGCAAAAGTTGGGGGTTCTATTGGTTCCGTTCTTGATGGTGGAGGTGGTGGCGGTGGCAATGGTGGCAATGAAGACAGCGTTGTCTCATCATCACCATCACAAGCTACTATTTGAGGTGGCGGTGGTGGTGGAAGTGGTGGCAACGATGGCTTTCCTTCAAATTCAATGTCTGTTGCTGTTGTTCCATTTTTATTACAGGAATCTATTTCGACCATTGGAGGCAATACAGGTGGTGGTAAATCAATTGATGGTGGTGGTAACGGTATTTGGTTCGCTAAACCCCCTGGACCATTATCATTGTCATCATCATCATCATCAGCATCATTATCATCATCATTGTCATCATTTTCTTCATCTTCATCGTCACTTTCTTCCAATTCACTAACCAACATGGATGGAAAATGACCAATATGACCATCAGTAGTTTGACCTGTCCACCAACCATCATCCGATTCTTGATCGATTATTTTGATAAGATCACCAGATTTGAAAGAAATTTCTTCACTGTTCGTAGCAATATAATCATACAATGCTCGAACAAAAGTTTCATCTGAATGTTTATTGTCATCATTATCTTTCATTTGTTCATTTGATTGTTCTGAGTGTTGTTGTTTATCTTTATTTGGTGAACAAGTTGATGAAGCTTGTTGAATATTGATTTCCGGTGCTGACATTTCGGTTTGTTGTTGTGTTAATGAAGAGATTGGAGGTGCTGGTGGTTCATCAGTAGTCCATTGATCATTTGCCGATGTAATCTGATATTGTTGTTGTTCATTATTAGCATCATTAAACGTTGAAATATCATTTGGCATATCGGACGTTGCTTCATAATGTTCATTCATTGATACCGGTTGTAAATATGATGCAGGAACATAGCCAAAATGACCTATTTTTATAATGAATTTGAATATAACAAAAATACAATCAAAGTAAATGAATTAAAGTTTTGTTTTATCTCAAAAAAAGACTGATATACAATTGAATTGATCGAAATTAAATTTTAAATAACTAACCATCTTTGTTTTGTGCTTGAACCCAATCTTTATCGGCTGCATTTACAACATCAATAATCTCCTGCTCAACAATAGTTAGCTCATCATCATTTTGGCCAGTATAACTGTATAGAACAAAACATTGTTTTCCAATCAATGAAAATCCATCAACCATTAAATGATCATGTTGTTGTTGTTGTTGTAAATCCTCATAGAAATTTTCCTGAATATTTTGTTGCTGTTGTTGATAATTATCATTATTCATTTGATCATCATTCAAATCGTTTGAATGTTGTCGATATTCATCGATTGTTTGTTGCTGTTGTTGGTAATCATCATTAATACCATTGTAGGCGTTACCTACGGTAGTAGCATTGGTAGAAGTAGGAAGAACGGATGATTCATTATCCCATGCTTGTGCTGGATCATAATCACCCCAAGATGTTTGATTAACTGCTGAATATGCTGCAGATGTTGGTGCAGGTGATGTACTTTCAATACTAGTGCCCATTTGTAATAGTTCTCTATCGGGCGAATCCAATTGTTCAATAGATGATGAAGATTCAGGTCGAACTGTTTGATGTCCAATATTTTCAGTTTCACTTTTCGAACTACTGTTTGAGGGGAAAACAATTAATTGATTGTTTTAGAGAAATTTTAATTTAAAAAATCACATACAGTTTGGCTTCCAAATCGCTATGTGAACGCATTGATGGTGTACGACTTAATGAAGTTAGATTTAGATTATCTACTTCCAAAGATTGTTGTTTAATTTCATTTGTTACTTGTGATTCGAATGCGATAAAATCTTCAACTTCAGCACCGCTTTCTTTAATCACTTGCAGACGAGCCTTTGCTTTTAGTTTACTTATTTCACATTTACGTAATTGTTGACGAATTTCATCAATACGATTCTCGATTTCTACCTGTCCGCTTCCTGGTAGGTCAACCGTCTAATAATTTTAAAATAACAGATTAAGCATCAGATAATGATCAGAAATTTTAAATGATTTCAAATATTGTGGATCAATTAATTGATTGATTGTTTTTAAAATATAACAAAAACCAAAAACCAAAACGAAATCAATTTAGATACGAAGTAAAAAAAAGCATTAAAAAATCCATTAAACAATGATAATAATGATGATGAGTGATTTTAAATGAAAAGAAATTACCTTATGACCTTCGGATAATAAAGCCTGTAGTTTAACTAATTGAGCTGATAAACGATTAAGATTACGACATTCTTTGGAAAACCAAGTGAACCATTTTTGTCCTTCATTACGTAACGCAATATCAGCATTATGATCCAATGAAATTGTTTCGATTGGATCATTATCACACGATTGAAATTCATATGTCAATATTTCCCTATATAAATAATAATGAATTAAATTTCAAAATGATCAATTAATCGATTAATTGATTAATTACTTTTATTTAGAATGAGGAAATTAATAAAAAAAGATTGAAGAAAAAAACTTACGTCAATGATGATGAATTTGGATCGCGTAAAAATATTGAATTTGTATAATCAGCTGAAGTATGATCAACTAGATCGGTAGCTTTTTCAATCACATCCGACCATGATTGAACGGAATCTTTTTCCACTTTCAATAGATTTAACATATGACTTCGACATTTATCCAATACACAATCATCAATGTTCAACATAAGATTGATTAAATCTTGATTATAATAATGATCAAAATGTGCATTGCCAGCTGCCAATGCCATTATATAATCATTTCGTGCCTTGTTTGTTATTATTATTATTGAAGTTTCATTTTACAGGTGAAAAAAAAGAAATTAAAAATGGGTTTGAAAAAAAACAATTATTTTGAAATAATCATTATAGGTATTCTGTTTACCTGAGTTGATTGAATATCGCTTGCTTCACGATGTGCTGATGTACGTTCTTTTTTATTTTGTAAACTTGTAAACGAAGCAAATATGCCTGTTTTACGTTTTTTTATTCTTTTGATATTTGATTTGATTTGTTGTGAACAAAAAAAAACAGAATTCAAAATAAGAAGAATTCATTTAATAAAAAATGTTAACATACTTTTCCTCTTTATCTCGTGCTTGTTTGGCCAAATGTTCTTCTTCAAAATATAATTTTCTCGTTTTATCAATTTCGTTGACCGAATGAACAATTTCTTCATGCATTTTTCTATGATGAATTTTGAATTGAAAAAAAAATGAATATATTCATTATGAATGATAACCAGATTTTAGAAACAAAAAACCTACTTAAGATAATTGTCTAGACATTTTTTGGCAATCTGAATTTTATGTGAACGCAATGTTTTAAGCGTTTCACAAACGGTTGCCAATTGTTCAAATTGTGATTGACGATTTTTGGCATGTTTTTCCATTTCCTCTTGATATATTCTCCATGAAGTGTATAATGTTCTAAAATTTATATGAAATTAATTAGTTTAAATTGAAATATCAATGAACATCTAGTTAAATACTTGATATCAGAATTTTCATCTTCATTTGTAACAAATGTCAAAAATGTTGATGTACGTTTTGCATAACTTGTATTCAATTTGGCCAATGATTGTGCATAATCACGTTCTAATGCGCAACGATTTTTTAAATAATTACGTAAATCATCCAATAGATCAAGATCGGTTGTATGTTTTAATAAAAGACGTGTAGATTGTTCAGATAATAATGATTTAGCAGATGAAACTAATGCACCCGGTTTTGTTGAATGTTGATGATGAGATGGTGATGATGATTGTGGGGGTGGTGGTGGAGGTGTTGGTGATGGTGATGGTGATGATGATATTGCACTCATTTTCTTTTTCTTTTTCTTTTTTTTTACTTCAAAACAATCAAAACAATGGGAATACACAAAAAAAACAATGATAATCGAAACAAATGATATTATATTGTAATCATCTAAACAAAAATGATGTGAAAATTCGTATGATAATATAATATTGGATGATGATGATAATGATGATGAGAATTTTACAGAATATTCTTTGAAACAATGATGGAAAACCAATTACAAATTATGATTCAGGGTGGATTTTGTTTTCTTTTTTATGGTTCTTTTGCTCTCTGTTTCTCTCTCTCACTTTTTCGTTCTATCTTTTTCTTTTATGATGATTATATGTGCGGACACTCAGTTATATTCAGAAACAAAAAATATGTCTGTACTTTTGTTTTGGATCAGAATTTTTTTTTTTGTTATGAAAAACCAAATGTGTAAAAAAAACATATACAAGTCTGAAGGAAGTAGTCGGAAATGTTCGTATGAGATTTTAGTATGTTTTTTTCTGTATATGTCAATTTCAATGTGAAATATATATTTTTTTTGCCTATTTTCTTATTGAATAACGGGCAAAAAAAACTTGTTCCATGAAAAAAAAATTCTGATCCAAAATACTGTTTGTGGAAGTGGTAACCAAAATCTTCTGTTTAAGTAGTTAGTAAGCCCAATGTGCCCCAATGTTTCATATTTGGATTCTTTCGTTTTTGTTTCATGTTTTTAACTATGTGATGTATATGATGTCGTAGATCTTCTTTTTATATAAATGAACGTGTTTTATTTTCGTTGTTTATGTATGTGTGTTATTATATGGAATCGAATGGTCCACCTTGAAGCTTTTTTCGGGTTATTTTATATAGCATTTTGTTTGCTGAACTTTGTATAGAATGCCAAAGAAAAAAAGAATTGGATAAAACACGTCACAATCAAAATGAAATACAATGAAATTACAAACACACACACACACAAAGACTATATATATAAGTAATATTTTAAATTGATGAGAAAAGAAAAGACCAACAACAAAAAACCGATGTAAAGTTTGACCCGGTCGATGAATATCATATAGAATCCTAAAATATATTTTATAAATTTGGAGCAGAATCTATTATTCTGAATTTTTTTTTTCATATTATGATAACGAATAATAATTGCGAAAAAAAAACAGAACAGAACAGATTTATTTATAAAGAAATGAAAAGTGATTATTCTGATTCTTGAATGATGATGATTATTATTATGATGATGAGGCAATCAGATTATTTAGGCAATAATAATGATGATGACATATTTTTTTCCCTCAAAATAATCATATTGATTTTTATTTTCATAAATTACATTAACACAATTAAATACAATTAATATTGATTGAATAATAAAAAACGCCCAGATAAAATTGTCGATTAATGATTGTTATAAGCTTATTTATTAACATAATATTTACATTTGTATCAAACATGTACATCGAATCACTAGCTCCCATTATTCAATTGTGATGGTTTTTTTTTGGAAAAAACAAAAATTTAACCTTCAAATCGGTTTGTTTTTTTTTCAGTGAAAGTAAAAAAATCTTGATTAATAAAATTTGGATGGTCAATAATTTAACCATTATCATCATCATGGCCATTCAATTCTATATGTATGATACAATTTTAAAGGAAACTTTTGTAAAGAATCGCTTTTCTCATATACAATACTTTTTATAAATTTTTCAATTAATCATTTATTTAATGATTTTCCAATTATTTTTGATTTATATTTAGTTTTTTAAAAAATCTATTATCGGTCTAAATTCATTGATGAATAAAAACAAATCCAAGTGTTTTTGATATGTTTAATTTATTATATTTTCTTGTTAGTTAATGTTTTTTTTTTGAAGCATGTTAATTGAAAAATCAATGAGAATGGATTCATTCAATGTTCATAGTTTTGTTCACAATATTTTATTAATGATTTAGTATGGGTAACACCTACAATATTCAATTCCAGTTGCAGTAGCAATCGAAGAATAACAAAATCAACAAACAAACAAACAAACAAAAAAGTAAATCTATCCAATAGAATTAAATATCAAACAATTTGAACCGACAACATTGACATTAAACATCACTATTCCCCTATCTATCTATCCATGTTTGAATTGAAAAAGATTTAAAAAACAACAACAACAACAAACAGAAAATGCAAAGTATTCTTTATTTTTATGATTACTTTAGCAGAATATCTATTTTTGTTTTCTACTATATATGAATTGTTCATCATTTTTGTTATCATATCTTTATTTTTTCGAAAAAAAAATTATATAGCAAAACTTATTTACGATATAAAAATACATCAACTCAATATGAATTTGGTGTTCCCGGGTTTTGCCGAATAATGCCTTGTTTAATGTGTGTTTGATATTTAATTTTAGCATTTTATCATTTAAATATCACATTCTGAACATCAAAGTTTGTTCATTTCCGTAGCATTGTTGTTTATATTTATTTTTCTGTTAATCATTACACTCGTTAATAATGATGATGAACTGAATTGATTTTTCTATTCGCTTTGTTTTCATGGAAACAATCATAAATGTAAACAAAAAATTATCGATTTTCATAATAAATCTATTTATTCATAATAGAAGAATCTTATTCTATCATTATTCATCATTAAACGAACAGATTTTGATTTAAAATGAAAATCATTTTTTGATAGTCAATCATTTCCAAAATACAATTTCGTAACATATTTTATGAAGTGAACATGTTTGAGTATGAATCCAGCTGATGTGTTTGGATAACACTCAGCATTCGTTTATTTTTCTGATGATGTTGTGTTTGGTGAATGTCGTTGTGGTTTGTTATTAATATTTTTTGTTTTCGTTTTAATTCAATCCCGTTAATAAATTGGGATCCAAAATTTGATAGATTTTAATCAACTAATTCACAACCACATTTATACCGGTGTTTTATTCATTTATACAAACTTTCATACAAAATGATTCAAGAATATGTTATCTATGTAAAAAAAACCATCATAGCCACTAATAATTAAAAATTCTCAATTCAAAGTGATTATTTATAAATTCTACAATGCTTAGGCCAACAAAATGGTTTGGCTGGTCTCGTTCCAGTTCTGAATCATCTTTAGTTCGTTCCAATAGTAATCCACATTCATTGGAACAATTAAAGTGGGTGCATATCCAATGTATTGAATCAATTCAATTATATTAATAATTTCATTCACAGATTATTGTATCGATTATTGGAAAAAAATCAAACAGTAAGCGAATCGAATCGTACATTATTGGTTGAAACATTAAGACAAATTGCTGAAATTCTAATCTGGGGTGATCAAAATGATTCTAGTGTCTTTGAGTAAGTTTCTTGTAAGTTTTTAGTAAAAAAAACACTGACCACTATTATTTTATTCCTTATTATAGTTTTTTTCTCGAGAAAAACATGCTCTACTTTTTCTTGAATATTATGAAACAAAAATGTGGTGGCTATGTTTGCACACAATTGTTACAAACATTGAATATTTTATTCGAAAACATCAAGAATGAAACATCACTTTATTATTTATTATCAAACAATCACGTTAATTCAATTATCATACATAAATTTGATTTCAGTGATGAAGAAGTTATGGCCTATTACATATCATTTTTGAAGACATTATCTTTAAAATTGAATACACATACAATACATTTTTTCTTCAATGAACATACAGCCGATTTTCCACTTTATACTGAAGCGATTAAATTTTTTAATCATTCAGAAAAAATGGTACGAATAGCTGTTCGAACGTTGACATTGAATGTGTTTCGTGTACAGGAAAAAGCAATGCTTCGTTTCATACGGGATTGTACGGCAGCTCCATATTTTTCTAATTTATCCTGGTTCATTGGTAATCATATTCTTGATTTAAATAGTTCTTTGGCTACATATATTGAATCAAGAAATCAATCATCATTGAACATTCAAGGTTCATTGCCACATAGTAATAGTTCTAATCTAATAAATCGACTTGAAGATTTGGTTGCCGAACATCTTGATCATCTTCATTATTTAAACGATATTTTACTGTTGGATATTGATGATCTTAATAATGTACTTTCAGATAATCTTTTATATCGCCTTATAATTCCATTGTATATGCATTCATTTCTACGTATCGATTCTAAATTCAAATCGAAAACAAGTTCCAAAGAAACTAATGTTATTCTATCGCCATCCATTGCAATATTTTTGTTAACACAGGTGTTCTTAATTATTTCTTATGGTGCTTTACTCAAAACATTATTATTGGCATTAATTTCAAACAAACAGGACATTGAAACTATTGCACAACAATGTGAATTTACTCAACCTATCACCTCGTTAGAAGCGGCTATTGAACAAGCCATACAAACAACATCGAACCAAAATTCATCAGATTCTAGTGAAATGCAAGATTCAAGTCCATCACATTCAATAAATAATAATGATAGTAACAGTAATAATAATGAACAGTCGACAGTAGAAACTGTTAATAATTGTGAACCGAATAATTCGACAAGTGATAAAAACAAGTTAAAAATTGAATCAAATACATTAATAAATTGGCAGGATTGTTCATTTTTGATTGCATTGTTAGCGTCATTAAATGCCAGAATTGTTCCTAACGTTGAATTATCCATGGATATTAAAAATCAAGATGCTATAAATAACAGTAACAGCAAAAATTCAGAAAGTAATAACCTCAGAAAATCTTGTCATTCATCACAAATTCTTCGATTTATACCCGATTGGACCAGTTCGGACGATAGAATTGTTTTATTTGCACTTTCATTAATTTCGTCAATTGTTTCAAATAAAGCCATTGATAGTGACAACTATCAAAGTATTTTTGTACCACCATTGGATTTTACGTCATCGACAAATTCGTTTTATCAAACATTGATTAATAGCCTATTATTAATCATGCGTCAATGTAGTTCATCAAGTGAGTTATTTTATTATCATAATAATTAATCTAATTCATTTCAAAATTAATTTCACTAGCATCATCAATACGCTTGGTAACTTTTGAGCTTGCTGTTCATTTATTTCGAAAACTTGTCTGTTGTCCACTATCTTCGAATGATCCGAAGCCACCTGAGGAATCGACATCAACTTCTGGTCCTCATGGTCATGTGATATTGACTGATTATCAAATAGCATTGTTGGAACAGGCTCGCGAAGATGCATGCCATATATTAAGACGCTATTATTGCTCAATAGAGGAATCTATATTTTTGAATCTTTTTGAGAAAGAAGCTAGAATGTTTCATTGTCACTCTTGTTCAACACGTACCTCGATATCGTCGTCCACTTCAGCCTCCCCATCCAAACATGTTACATCACCTAGATCCGATCAAATTTGGTCATTTGAATCGAATCTTACATTGGAACAATTGTTCATGAATGCCACAATATTGTTGCCGCCAAATGAAATAAGCAAAGATGATTCGAATTTTCATCTACGTCTACCAGGAATTGATTATGAAAAAGCTCGTTATGTATGTAGTTTTGTTCATGTTATAATATATAAATTCAATTTATTATTCATTTCTTTTAAAGATAATTCAAGTATTTTTTGTTCTACGTCTCCTTTCATTTGATGTTCGCAAATCAATGGACGATACAAGCGACGACGAGAAAGCTCAAGATTTTGCTATTCTTTTGGATGATCCTATTAATTCGCCATCAATTTATTTAGATCAATTTATTGATCTTGGTAAGTCATATCGCTTGAATTTGATGAATTCATTAATAAATTTTGCTTGAATTTCTAGAAAATTGTGACCTCAATTTGTGTTCGGTTATTTCCTTTCATCTGGTTAATAATCAACATCGACAATTTTCAGGCGATATTCGTGATCGTTATTCACAATCAGCTCCGATTTCAAGATCTGAAAGTCCATCCTTGATGCAAAATCATAATACAAGTGGTCGTCGAATTCAACGATTCATGACCATCATGAATGAGCTTATTATTCTTATTGAACCGGATGATAAGCGATATGGTTGGGGTATTATTCGTTTTATGGCTAGATTACAGGATATTGAAAAGATTGTTATGCATTCAAAAGAGCTTGGTAATCTACAAACAATACCACCATTGCCCGAAAAAGATGATAACAAATCATTATATATTTATTTTGATTCATATCGATTATCATCTTCAATTGCATTAGATGCCAAAATAACAAATTCACGAATCGGGTATCGTAATCGTCAACAAAGTATTGTGGCTAGATTTCAATTTAACGATAGTGTTCGTAGTTTGGTTGCACGTAATAACCTATGTAAAGCTCATAAAAAAGTATTAGATCGCAAAATAATAGCTGTTGCAAATCTCATTGATGTGCCTACAAGTGGCCAAACTGCACGTTCTGCTTGTGTATCAAAATCCGGTCATGATGGTAATAAAAAATCAACAAATCAAAATCATCATAATCATCCAGTTTTGACGCGAACATATGCAGTTCCTGGCGTTGCAGTTCCATCAAAATTTTCTAGTGGACAATCCTTTGAGTCACAATCAAATGATAATACTAATAAATTGGATATGATTAATAAAAAACGTTATGCCTATCCACCGGCTGTTTCAAATAACAATAAATCAAATAAATTGAATACCAATCAACAACAACCATCGGCTAAAATATCGATCGAAAATGAACGACGTCGTAAAAAGAAATTGAAATATCCAACAAATCATTCAGATCATGATCATGATCAAGAACAAAATTGTATACCATTAAATGATCTAAGTCCAAAAACATTACGAAAAAATTTATCGTCAACAATAACAGCAGCAAATGCTGCCGCATCTGTAACATTAGCAGCCGAATGGCAAGAAAATTCAAGCAATTCTCATCTATTCAATGATACACAAATTGAAGAAGGTATCAATCCATTGGATAATAATAATCATGATGTTGTATCAATATCATTAGATAATCTTAATGTAACCAGAACGACAATGATTAATGATATTAATGAAACTACAAATACTGCTAATAATAATAATAATAATAAAAGATCTTCACCTCCATCATCATCGATACGACAACAGAATCGTACGTCCGAAACATTCGATGTATAAATTAATTATTATTTTCATCTGAATGATGGGAATTTATTTGCATATTTAAAACAAACAAAATTATTATCTATTTGTGATATCATCATCATTTGTATTAATTGAAAATTTGTGAATTTTTTTTCTTTTGTTTTGTTAAATAAGCTCAATTATGGATGCAAAAAAATGTCAACGGTGAATATCAATAAAACACATTACATAAACTATTTATAGTTTTAATACCTGTTATTATTTTTTTTTGTGAAAAAAAGTTAGAAAAAAATTGTAAAATTTATTTTATCATTTTTAATATTATTAATAATAATAAATCAATTTATTTTAATTAATGGAATTGATTTTTTTTCAAAAAAAAAGCAAAAACAAACAAATTGTTACCGGGGAATGTTATATGAATCTATTTATAATAATTAATAAAATAATTAAAATAATTTTGTTTTGTTTTTTTTTATAAACGATTAAATGTTCCAAATTTAATTCCACTAGCATTAGCACCTTTATTTGTACCGTATTGTAGATTGATAATTGTTTCACCTTGTTTCAATTGTTCATCGGTGAAATTACGTTTATTTTCTTCCGATTCTTTTGGTCCAAATCCTTTTAAACCAAATTTGCTTGCTTTACGTGCTAATGCCGATAAACAAATCTGTACTGAATGAAGATTAACACGTTCCCAAAGATCAACAGTTTGAAATGTTTCCTCTCTATTGACGCCAAATTCATCCAATGCTTTTAGAAATGAATTAATATTATCCATACATTTAAACGGTAATGTTGTAACGGAAAATTTTTTCACAACTCCTGGTTTCATTGCATTGGCCAATCTAACAATTTAATAGGATTATTGCAAAAATACAAAACGAAACCAATTGATAAATAATGAAATCAATTTCTGAGAATAAATCAAAACTTTTTTACTCACTTGCAAAGTACGACACCATCTTTTAATACTGCATGAAAATTATCTTCACTTCCATCGGTATTAATATCGACATCATCGACAATATCATTAATCCATTCCAATATTTGTCTCGACAGATCCGGATCATATTTTGATTGCACCTGTTATGAGATTCAAGTGTATGACATATTTAAATATGAAAAAAATATTGTTCAATAATAATCCGTTTAATAATATTTGCAATCGATTGAATGAATTGATCAAAAGATTGTTTATTGATACAAGTATCGTTATTTTTTTTTATCTATCAAAAATTCATTGATAGGTAGCAATCATTTAACTATAAAACATATTTTATTGGAAATGTGACAGCAAATTTGATATGACCTTGATTATTCTGATTAAAAAAAAAATCAATTCAAAACAACAAAAAAAAAAGACTACTGACACATTTCAATAATAATGATATTTTGTCATTGCTATGATAACATAAATATTTCTATATAGTATAATTTGCTATGTTGAAACCGGAAAATTATTTGAAAAAAAAATAAATGAGCGTGTAATATGATGAATATGGTTTTTTCTTGTACGCCCTTAAAAAAATTTGAATGAGGAAAGTTTTTTAAAAAAACAAAGTTTTAGTACATGGACTTGGCCCTATCACTGAATCTTATTGAGAGAAAAGAAACCAGAATCATTTGAAATCTGAAAAAAAAATTTGAAACCACAATATCTCAAGAGAAAACTAAAAGGAATTCACACAAACAAACAATTCATTCATTCATTTTGAATGGAAAATTTTCCATCATTTGATTGATATAAAACAGACTAAAGTAATCAAATTTCTTTCTTTTTTTTTATCGTACTTGAATTATCAAAAAAACTTTTCATAATGATTACTATATTTTTTGGCAACATCTGAAAACCTCTCGAATTTTATTATTGTTTAATTATTTTGTTGTAAGTATTTTTGTTCAGTTTGGTATCTTAGATACATTTGAAAATGATTAATTCTTCAAATAATCATTAACAGTCAGAACAATGATTAACAAAATGAAAAATCAATTATTTGAACATCCGGCAATCATTTCTTCTATTGATGATACCAATAACTATTAGGGAAAAAAACGAATCAAATATTGATGTTCAATGATTCATCCAACAAAATAATAACATCATTGTTTTGATGGTCACACAGACATACAAACAAGATAAAAATGACCTTCGAAATATTCGTGTAATTTTTGAAAATACACAAATGATGATGTGTTTTCTCCAACATTTAATTCAAGTATATTTCACAGATATGTGTTAGTGTGGGTGAATATTTTAGGTGAAAAAATGTTGAAAATTCAAAGATTCATTGGATAATTGGAATGAATGAGCAACATTATTTTAAGTAAAAGAAATTCAAGCCATACCTTTGCATGGGTTTCAGCAGCAATACCGGATTTTTCAGCACGATAAGCCATTATGATGATGATGACAGTTGAATAAAAATCAAACACTAAATATCAAAAATATTCAAGGGAAATAAATTTCAAAAAAAAAACCAACGAAATTCAAATTGTAGTAACGATGTCCAAATATTCTTGCAAACACTTTTCGATATCGATGCGTGTGTTTATCCAATCAGGCAAACATTAAAAGTGACAGTGAATTCGTTGTGTAAAAAAAAATATAATCACAACCAAAAAAAGGCCAACCGATCAATGATGATGATCAACGACAACCGCCAGTATAAACTTTATTAACGAACAACAATAAATTTTGAAACTATTCATCTGAGCTATGCGTCATCATTGCAGACTACGGCATCAACTATACTACCACTAAAATTATCAACAATTATCATCTTATTGCATTCGCATTGTGTGTGTACCAACAAGTGTATACAAAATGATGTTCAATTACAATGATGTAGTGGTATAGAATTTCCAACAACAAAATTTTGTTTTTTTTGGATAGATTTTCAATCAATAATTGTTGGAATGGCACGTTAATGTGGCTATAGAAATCATTATCATCATCATCGTTATTAGTGATGTTTGTTTGTTAATGATGATAATAACGGTCAAACAATATAATAATATTATTCTCCCCTTTATTTTCTTGGTATTCTCATATATATCCAAGAGTATGCGCAATTATTTGAATGTTGTTTTCCAATTGACGCCCTCATTTATAACAAAATAATGTTGGAAATATTACAACAAAAGCAAAAAAAAAGCGATCATCAATCGATTTGATTTTAATCAATTTTATTGCCAGTATACTAGATGGCATTAGCTGTATTTTAATAATTTTTTTTATTATCATTTTTTTGGCATTTATTTTTTTTGGCTTTTTCTATAATTGTTTTGTTTTTGTATCAATTTCATTAATCAAATTTCATTGTTTGACAAATATTAATGATGATGATGATGATTAATAATAATAATAATAAAATCGTAATCAATTATCAATTTGTATCAGTGTGGGTATGTTTCGGTGTGTGTGTGTATATATAAAAAGATTCAAAGATTTTCATTATTGTTGTTTCCGTTTCTTTCAGGTAGTGAGATTTTTTTTTTTGCTGTGACTTTTGTTGTTTCAATCAGATAAATCATTTGGATTTTTTTTCTGGAAGCAATTATGGTAAAAAAATTACTAAAATCTTAAAGTTAACTGTGATTTAAAAAAAAACAAACAATCATCAATTGATTGGTAATATCTATTGAAGGAAATATAATTTAAATTTATGAGATTTCTGTATCAATAATATGGATTATTGGTTTGTGAATGTGTCAGTGTTTGTTTGTTTATGGTGGGTATTATTGTCAAATTTGATGTGACAAAATCATCAGATAAATAAAAATGATTGAATGACAAAATACATAAATTATCATGATGATAATAAATCGGTAACGAAAAAAGAGAGAATAATATTCTTGATGAAATTATCCCAAAGAAAAAAAAGGATGATAATATCTGAATCTCTTTATTAATAAGTTATTATTATATTTTTTTTTTGCATCATGAATTTCATCTATTATCCGATTGATTGATTGACCGATTTTGATCGATTGATATTATTATTATAATGTTGCCAAATACAATATGTATGCATATATATTATTAATGAATTGTTATCAGTTAAAAATGGAATATTCCAAACAAAATAAACGAATTCATGTGTAAACGAAACGAGAGAGAGAGAAAAAAAAAGAAATGAACAAATATATTGATAAAATTGATGATGATGATGATGTAATATTTTTGATGGATGAATGAACACACTTTTGGGAATTATCAATATATATGAGAATCACATATATATTAATAATTCTTATTGTTGTTTGATGATTTTATTTGTTAAAAATTTCTATTGATCAAATTTTTTTTCCATTGTTTTCTTATCATCATTTAAATTGTAAGTGATACAATGATTTTTTCCGGAGAGAGAGAGAAAGAAAAATACATTCAAATGATTGCCAAATAATAAATCCATGACAGATTTTCGAAATTTTTTCGGAGATACCATTCATGTGAAATAATTTAGATGATGATTAGATTCCATTCGTTGATTATAGTCGATATGTTGATGGATAATATAATGATGATAAGAATGACAATATAAAATAATAGCTGTGCAAGTTGTGTGTAAGAGAGTGAATTGTTTTTTTTTCTTTCTTTCTTTCTCGTTAAATTTTTATTAAATTCAGATTCGTTGCAGATATTCTGGATATCAATATGCAATTTGTATGAATTGAATATTTCATTATCTTTATTTTGTGTTCAATATGTAACTATACAGAGTGTGTGAGAGAAAGAGTGAGAAAAAAAAATTATATCCCTTTTTTTTCGTTATATAAATTCAATGAGAGAATCTAATCAAAATTGATGCGCACGGATGCATCCATTTGACCATAAAATAATAATAATAATAATAATAAACAAATTCCATTTTTTGTGTTTGCATAATCATGTATTGTGTGTGAGATAGAGAGAGAGAGAGATAGAGTTTGTATTTTAAATTTACAATTTTTTTTGATGATATCAATGAATAGAAAAAAAAGAGCAGCCGGAGATGACGGTGAATATTTTAACGATATATGAAAATGTGATAAAAAGATGTTTACGATGATGATGATGATGATGATCGACTTGTGATTATCAAGATATAATAATGATGGCTATGATGATCATGATCATTTGCACGTATACAGATCAATAGTTCGTGTACACGTTTTACATTCAACATAACAGCACCAATGAAATTTGCAATTACAACGTTCTTTTACCGTTACTTTTTGTGTATTGTAACTGGAATTTTGTTGTTGTTGTTGTTACCATCGCAGATAAAAGAAGCGATTTTTCATGGGAAAAGAAAGAAAGAATAAAAAAAGAATCAGAATAAATGAATTTGGTTTTTTATCATTAAAAAAATAAATAAATTTTCACAAAGTAAACGATAAATGGATTTCATTCGAGAATAATGTGTGCAGGCACATCTGTGTATGTGTTTGTATGTGTGATTAATGATTAGGATTAGTGTAGCATTTGAAATGTTAATGTTAAATAAAAAAATAATAATAATATATAACACTTACCCTCGTCCACAACACATTAGATTACATCCATCAGTTCCTTTAGATGTACGATTACAATAACGTCCTTGTGTACCATATGTACCCGTTTTATTATTATGATCGCAATAATCGGGCGAATCATCAATATATAATAAATCTTCGGCCGTTGGCCTTGTAAAACTAGGATGTCGAACCTGTAATTTTGATCGTTTATTTAAACGTACTTCGGTTGCACCATCATATTTGTCTTTTAAAAAATCGCCAACTTCACGAAAGCTTAATAATTGTTGCCAACAGGTTACAACTGAACATGAACCGCTTACACCATGACATTTGCATGTTGCTCTCGTTTTACGTATAACAGCCTTTGAATAATAATCAATTTTTTTTTTAATAGAAACAAAGCCAAACCAGTTGTTGTTGTTTCATAATGTATGAAATTCATTATCAATTTATATTCATTTATACAAGGAAATATACAATTTAAAAATCAATAAGATTTTTTGATCGAAAAAATGAATGAAGAGAAGAAATTTTCAAAAAAAAAATTCAATTACAAATGACAGCAATCTAATATGAATAGATTGAATAATTTAACTTACCCTTCTTCCAGCTTCATTATTATGTAAATTCATCAATTTTCTTGCCAATTCACGTGAACCTTTCTGTAGATTCTTTTCTTTTTCACGAACATCGATAAAACTTTTGGAAAAACGATAACCATAATCAAGATTATCGCCACATCCACCCCAGATCCATTCTTGATTCAATGATTTAGGTCTTGCTGAACGTCCACAGCTACAATGCGATAATTGTCCATCACGACATGCACGTGCAATAGCATATACAACACCGGCAGCTGAAATAGCATGTGCAAATGCTGATTCTCGACTGGCTATAATTTATGATCCGATACCATAACCATAACCATCATTAACATTTGTGAAGATCGATATATTCGATAAAAACAAGAAGGGAAAAATCACCAAAATGTAGTAATCATAAGAGATTAGGAGAAAGAAAGAAAATTTTTTTTTTGTAATTAGATCGTAATTTAGTAGCAATTTATTTTTTTTTCTTGTTCATCATTTACGCACGCTGATCAGAGAAAGATTTGAAATGAAGCAGAAAAAAATGAATATCACATTAAATATTGTGAATGGCTAGACTGACTGGTCTGATGTTTTTTTTGGGATTTCGATTAAAAAAAACTATACATACACTACACAAACACACAGTAGTATGAAATTCAATTGATATGATCCAAATTAATGCATATCGAATAGTGAAAAATGAAATTTTTTTTTAATTTTTTCTGTAAATTTTTGGGGTGCAGAAAAAATTGAAATTAACTAAAAATTTTCATTTTCTTCATATAATAATATTGATGATTAGTATTAGATAATGTCATGATTATCTTTTACTCTCTCTCTCTCTCTCTCTCTCTCTTGCTCTCTATATATATCGATCATTTGTATTACTTTCACCTAGTTTGTTGTTGTTGTTGTTGTTGTTGTAGTTACAAATTTTTCTTTATCCATATATTTTATGATGTTATTTTTTTTTCTTCTCAAATGATTCTATATTTGGATATAATATGTTAATTGTCGTCGTTCATTTGAAAAAAACGATGTCGCGCTACTACGATGTAATGTTTTGATTTTGTGTATCTGAAATTTTTCTTTCTGAAAACCATCTCTTTTAAAAAAAATGTATGAAAATTGATTTTTGTTTCAAGAGAAATCAAATAAATTACTTAGAATAACATTGTCAAGACTGTATTTTTTTTGATGTTATGTTTTAGTATAATCTATCAATTTGTTTCCTGTTTTCGATAATTGATTTGTATTTCTAATATTTTCTCTTACATTTGAATAAATTTTTGTTTTTTTTTGAAAACAAATCTTAATTATATTGGTTTTTTGATATAAACATAGCCATGATCATTATCATTATGATTTTTAAAAAAAGAAACAAAAAAAAAAAATAATGAGAAGAAACAAGAAAATGGATCACCAAAATATCTTTCACAGAAAATAAAAATTTATTATCATTTTTGTCCTCATTAGATTTTAGATAAACTTTTCTGTTTGTTTGTTTGTTTTTTATCGTTAAAATTTAATTAAAGTATCTTGTTAACTTACCAATATTGAGAACATGTCCAAACACTGAACTATCATCTACTGTTGAACAATTCCATCGTTGACTTTTAAATTGATATTGACATTCATTAATACCTAAACGTGCACCACGTCCAATATGTGGAATATGATCTTGATAAAGATTACATAATTGTGTCTGTCCTTTGCTAAGACCTTTTAGTTCATTGCAAAATAATTTTTTCTTTTGTTGTTTATTATAATCATTATTATTATAATAGTTATTATTGTTAGAATTATTATTTCCGTTTGTACCATATGGTACAGGATTTCCGCCAACATTTCCAATAATACCGGAATTAATTTCTGATGAATCCATTCCATAATGATTATTACCAAACATACTATGGCTTCCGGATCCTGTTGCCGTTGATGTTACTTGTCCAAAACCATTTGTAGACAAAACCGAATTAACACCATTACCATCACCATTAACTAACATATAGGAATTTGGTGACATTGATCCGGAATTCATATTGCCCAATGTATTCAATTCATATGAACTTAGATCCGTTGGATACAATTCATTATTGGTCAATGAGATCCCTTGCATTCCAAGATTTCTATATGAAATAAAAAAAAGCAAAAAGAAATATAATAACAAAACAAATATTAGATGAAAATGAACAAAAAGAAGAAAAGAAATCGGAAAGAGAAAATCGACAAAAGAAAATATGACTATCTATTCCGGATTGTACAAACCAAACAAAAAAATTCAATTAGAATATAATAATAGAATTTATATTATTATGGTTGTAAATTAACAATATAATGATAATAATCACCATTAAATAAATTAGAAATTTGATATTATTGATGAATCATATTTTTTATTTATTTATAACAATTAGCCAAATAAATGATAAATGATGACAATTATCATTATAACATTATAAACATATTAGATTTATATATTTGATGATGATTTAAACATGATAAAAACTAAACGATAAATAGTTAATATAATTATTGAATGAATGAATGAATAAATAATTTTGTCACGATTATCATTATTATATCATCATGATTATACTTGAAACAAAAAACAAAACAAAACAAAACAAGTTGTTTGATTGTTTGTTTTTTTGTTAAACACCCACACATACATACATACATACAAGATAATCATTTTTTTTATCATGATAAAAATCAACAGTATTACTATGTTTTATTTGTTTTGATTTACTTATCATCATCATCATCATTATCATAATGATATATCTTGATATTTACTTTTTTTTCAATTCAAATCCAATTCGATTGGCCTCTCCTTGATTTTTTTTTCTTCTTTTGCTCTTCAAACATCTGGAATTGAATTTTTCCTCTTCTTCAAACAATACAATACAAATCAGACCAAAAAAAAAAAAAAAAAAATCCAATCAAATCAAGTAGCAACAACATGATAGCCTAATAATTTGATGATGATATGTTCTAGTGATAATTCATATATTCTTATCTTATTTTTGTTGTTGTTTTGTTTTTTTTTTCGAAAACATATAACCTGTGTTTTTGAAAATATATATAAAACATCTTTTTTTTTTGATTCATAAATAAAGATTTACATTTGAAAAAAAAGCAACTCAATCAATCAAATATAACCTTTATTATGTACTTTGGTGCGTGTAGTGATGACTACCTGGAAAGAATGTAATTTCTTTTCTTTTTTTTTTTATTTACCGAGACAATGTTAGAATCAAATAAATTCAATTCATTCATTGGATTTGATGAGAATTTAATCATTCTATTATAATAACAACAAAATGCGGATGTAATGTATAATTTTTTTTTTCATTTTAAAATTTTCAATAAAAAAATGGTTGCCAAATAAAATTAACACAAAACAAAGTAATCGAAATTCGATGACTTCTTTTCATGTTAAAAAAAATTCTATTTTCACATGCAAAACATGTGAACAACACATTATTCAAAGTAGATCAATTGATCATCAACATTTAATCTACACACATAAACACAGTCGACCTGTCCAACAAACGACCGGTAGAAAAAAAAAACTAACTAACTAGGTGATTCCTAAATAAATAGTAATCATCATCATCATCATCCTATGTTACAACCAAACTGGCGCCAATCTTAATACTAAAAAAACAAGGCGCCAACAGTTATCTTAGATACAAATAATCAAATCTAATAGATATTTTGGGATATTTGAATATCTTTTCATTTGAAAACCAAGAAAATAAAACAACAGAAAAAAACTGTAGGTGTGTCATGTGAAATTGGATCGTAATGAGAAAAAAAAACCTAAATATTGTTACACATAAACCAAACACCTATTTTTTTCATCAATAACAACAACAACGAAATGATGTCAAGAAAAAAAAACGAAGAAATTTGTATGATGCATAGCGTGTATTCAAGTTATAATCAACCTGTGTGTGTTTGTGGTAAAAATGACCAATCAAAAAGAAAAATATAACAGTATAAAAATACTAAAAAACTTACATTCAAGTAACATGATAATGTTGATTAAATGCAAAAAATATATAAAATAAAATCATAATCGTGTAATCGGATTTCAAAGGGTCTCGGTCAAATGTATATAATCATATTTATATTTTTGTTTTTTGGACATGAAAAATGAAACATTGAACAGGATCATCATCATCATCAACATTGAATCTATTGAGCATCAACAACAAAAAAAACAAAAATGATTATGATGATGATGATAATCAAGCTCATTGTCTACAACCAAAATACCGGTATACATTTCTTTTGATTCATTTTTGTTTCTTGATGTTTAAAAGCAAAAAAAAATGTTATAAAATAAGATGGAGAAACAAGAAAGTGTAAAGATTATAAAAATGATGATAGCATCTGGAAAAAAAAAATCATAAGCAAAATTAGAAAATATTTTCCCAGTAAAAAATACCAAACACGTGGTCGTCATTTACTTGTAATCTGATAATTTAGTAGAAGAAAAAAAAACTTATTAAATTTTCCAACTCTCTCTCTCCCCCTTTCTTATTTGAATCATCTTATCAGATAGAATCTCTATACATTTGTTTTCAGTTCTTTTTTTCTTTGATAAATTTATCCATCCTATCTCTATCTTGATTTTTTTTTTGATTAAATTTTCTCTTGTCCAAGAAAAAAGTTATCGGCATCATTTGTGATGAATGATGGATACAGTTTGAATTGATAGTAGAAAGTATCATCATCATTATCATTATTATCGGATATAATTTTTTTTTTGTTACGAAAATATTTTTAGCAAGTTTCTTGTTTTTTTTTCTTCTTCTTCTTCTCCTATTCACCCGATAAATGAAAAAGGAAAAATCAAATTTGCAATCAAAAGGGAACATTATTATTATTATTACATAATACTATGATACACGTTTATTGTTACTGCAATATGATGATGATGATGATGATGATAATGATAATGATGATCAAACGTATTTTTCATTGGCCTAATTCATTTTTAGGAGTTTAGGTCAACCCGATGCAAACAACAAATTCAATTCTCAATATATTTTTCATTTTGAAATGATGTGAAGACCTTTGGCAAAAAAAACGAATGAAAACAAATGCTGACCAAAGCCAAAACAAAAACAAAAAAAAATAATAATCAATCAATCAAATCATATTTCATTTTGGAGATATTTTGTTTGGAGTAACCACGGATTTAATCTATCCGATACATGACATACACATGAACACACACTGGACATCAATTAATCAAATCTAATTAAGATAATTAACAGCTACATTATTTTCTTTCTTTAATTTCATTATATAATAAATGTAGTTAGATAGATAACAAAACCAAAAAAAATATCGATATCATCATCATTTTCATTATTATTACAAGATAAATGTTGAATAATGGTTTTGTTGTTGTTGATCAAATTAAACAAGATTAAAGATAACAGTTATCAACAATAACATACGTCAACAACAATTGATTGACCAAAAAATTGAAATGAACGAAAAAAAAAACATTAAATTCGAATAATGTGAATAAATAAGAAAAAAAACAAAAACAAAAACAAAACAAACCTAACCTAAGAGGTTGATCGGATTGTGTATTAATTCATTTTTTTTTCATAAGTTTTCCATATTTGACCGAGATTTTTTCTTTCTTTCTTTTCACGCATGTTGATTTGAAGATTATGAAATTTTTTTTTTTCGGGTATACATGATAATAATATTGAATAACATATATAAAATGTTTTTTTCTTGGTAAAAGATTATGGTTTTTTTTTGATATGTTCAATCGAAATTTTCATGAAGATTTAGATTAGCTTTTTTTTCTTTCTTTCTTTCTTTGGCTCATATGATGTGTGTTTAATTTGGTTAAGGATTGGAATTGATGGCCAAATTTTTGTTGTTGGTTGTTCTTGTCGTTGTTGAATATTTGAGCCGATCATATTTGATATGCAAAAAAAATGTATAGAGTGAGCCAGAAAGAGAGAGAGAGAAATCTTGCATGTCCAAATCAATTGGAAAGCAAAATAATAATATAAAAAAAATTGGTTGATTTCAACCTTGTTTTCGTTTTATTGTTACCTGAATTATTGAATGATGTTTTTTTTCCTCGAATATATTAACCTTCAATTCAATAAAGTTGTTAAGCCTTTCGTCGTTCGTTCATTCTTTTTGATTGTTATCAGCTTTTTTCTTTCCATATGCCATTTTTTTCTGGTCGGCCGATTTTGTTGTTGTTGTTTTTGTTGTTTGACTTCAATCGATTGATTGACTTTGACCCAAAATTTCCGATTGATTTTCATCAGATTGAATCAATCTGGTGAAAAAAAAACCTTAAATGATTGTACTGATTTTTTTTTCATTTTTTGGTTTCGAATAATAATCGAATGGTAGAAGCAGAAAAAAAATTATTTTGCTTCTTCATCCATAAATTGATGATGATGATGATGACCGAAGAAAAGAAATTTTGTTTTCTCGTTATTTTACAATTATATTGGCCACACAATACATTCATTTTTTGTTTGGGGGTAATATAATCATGTTATTTATCAAAATTGTCCATTTTATTTTTCTTTCAATCTGATATATTGATGATCAAAATCAAAATGAACACATATGGTAGCATTGGTTAGTGGATATAAAACAACAATTCGATAGGAAATAACAAATGATGATGCTTATAAAGCTTTAGTCGTGCATCATCATCATCACCATAATTGCCATCGGATTTATTAACATTGATCGTATTATGGTGAGATTGATTTTGTTTTGATCCTAAGCAATCAAAAAAAAATTGACCTTAAACAAGTATCAACAAACTATTTGGAACCATAATCCATTGGAACAATTTTCTTCTAATACAGATGTCTATAATGAAGATGATGGTAGTGGTGTTAGTGTTGGTGATGGTGGTAACTGTAGATAAACCGATGCTCATGAAATCGATTCAATCATCAAACAATTAAACTACGATAGACTTGTTTTTTTGTTGTTGATCAAATCTACTTCATTATCGTTTATTGATTTTTTTGTGGTTGTTGTTGTTGTTGATCTGATAAAATCGACTTTAAGGTCAACATTTTATTCATCTACGTATTTTCATACAAAAAAT